TTCATTTATATTAGTAATTAACCCTTAGAGTATAGATGTTTGGATTGCAAAGCTCATATATTTTAAGCTCTGAGCTCTAAAAGCTGAAATAATTTATGATAATGTATGACATCATTGAAAGCTAACACTGCATTGCAGGCAACTGTCTGAACGGGATCCCAGCTTTACATGAAATGGTGGACCAGTCCACTAAATGTTATTGATGATATTGCTGTAGATGATAATGTTGTAGATGATAATGTTGTAGATGATAATGTTGTTGTTGATGATAATGTTGTTGTTGATGATAATGCGTCAAGCTAGTTATAAGACTGTCTGACTAAAAGAGTTTGTGTAAGATTATGAAACCAATTAGGATAAGAATAATTAGTCTTCATCTTGCTGACTCTTACCTTAGTCCTGATAGATGTTTATTTTCAGATGTTGACCTGAGCTAAGAAAACACTTGACCTGTTTCTGAAGGTCTCCGAAAACCTGGCCTGTTTCAGAAGGTCCCTTAAAACTTGGCCTGTTTCTGAAGGTCCCTTAAAACTTGGCCTGTTTCAGAAGGTTACAAAAATTGACGTTTCTGGAGGTTTCATTGGCATTGGCTTGTTTCTGAAGTATTACAAAAACGTTTTTTTTTTTTAATGCAAGAGGCTTATGGAAAAATATGTTTAAACATTTCCAGTTTTTCTGGCTCAAAACTTCTGTCAAACTGAAACTGGGTATAATTCAGCAAGTTTAGGATTAATAATGTATATAATTTTTATATCTAATTTGTCATATATTATACTTGTATTATATTTCTTATTAACCAAACACTATTTATATTCAATTTCATAAAATTCTCTTTTTTTTCCAATAAACCAATGATTGCTTTATAAGTATACTAGATTCTTTTCTATTTGGGTTGAAGACTGTTGCTGGAATAATCTGATTTGGGTATGGGGTCCTATAATTTGCTTGGTAGGTTCATCAGGAGAATAGTAATAAAAAAAGGGGGAGGTGTCAATACCCTAGGGAACCTAAGGCTGGAATTTCGCAGGTGTCACAGTTGCCATGTTCAAAATTGGTAAATTGTGGTTGTCCTGATTATCAATTTACCAGTTTCTTTTCTTATCTGAACTGGGGTACATGTTGGTGGTTTGGAAACACTGTTGAATAAATGGGGTAAAATGCACTATAGGATTCCGTGTGTTACAGCCTCTGACCTCTGAAGAACACAAATTGATCTTGGAAAACAGGCGAATTAAGCACCACTAGAAAGCATTTCCATTCATTGCACGACAGAATTTAATATACAGAAAATATAATATCTGCCACTAGATCACAGAAAAATGCCTCTCTACCAACAAAAGTCTAACGTTAACGTTCCCTTCCAGTTAACTGATATGACATACTAGGTAGTTGTTGGTAGATGTCAAATAAGCCTGCAACTACCTAGTCTGTGATATCAGTTAGCTGGAAGTGGACGTTAACTTGTCATCTACCAACAACTACCTAGTCTGTGATATCAGTTAGCTGGAAGCAGACGTTAACATGTCATCTACTAACAACTACCTAGTCTGTGATATCAGTTAGCTAGAAGTGGACGTTAACTTGTCATCTACCAACAACTACCTAGTCTGTGATATCAGTTAGCTGGAAGCAGACGTTAACTTGTCATCTACCAACAACTACCTAGTCTGTGATATCAGTTAGCTGGAAGCAGACGTTAACTTGTCATCTACTTACAACTACCTAGTCTGTGATATCAGTTAGCTGGAAGCAGACGTTAACATGTCATCTACTAACAACTACCTAGTCTGTGATAACAGTTAGCTGGAAGCGAACGTTAACTTGTCATCGACAAACAACTACCTAGTCTGTGATATCAGTCAACTGGGAGCGGACGTTAACTTGTCATCTACTTACAACTACCTAGTCTGTGATATCAGTTAGCTGGAAGCAGACGTTAACTTGTCATCTACAAACAACTACCTAGTGTGTGATAACAGTTAGCTGGAAGCAGACGTTAACTTGTCATCTACCAACAACTACCTAGTCTATGATATCAGTTAGCTGGAAGCAGACGTTAACTTGTCATCTACCAACAACTACCTAGTCTGTGATATCAGTTAGCTGGAAGCAGCCGTTAACTTGCCATCTACCAACAACTACCTAGTCTATGATATCAGTTAGCTGGAAGCAGCCGTTAACTTGTCATCTACCAACAACTACCTAGTCTGTGATATCAGTCAGCTGGAAGCAGACGTTAACTTGTCATCTACTAACAACTACCTAGTCTGTGATATCAGTTAGCTGGAAGGGGATGTTAACTTGTCATCTACTAACCACTGGGAAGAGAATTATTACACGATTATATGACTTCAAATACTTGACCAATATTCGTACAGATCTAACACTTCCTGACTGAATTAATCTGTTTGATAATTTAATGAATTCCAGATCATGTTTTTAATTTAGTTGATAGTTGGATTAAGTTCTAATTAATAACTTGGAATTGGGAATACATGCATGTCCATGTAATTATTTCACCATTCTTACAGACTCACTGAGCTCATTTCTAATAAACGTGGGCTGAGTCATTTTCTGAGAATGAATGAAAGAACGAATAAATGAATGAAATAATCAATGGCAGAAAGAAGGAATGAATGAATGATATGTTTCCTTTGGGTAAACAAATGAATAGAAGAATGAATGAATGTGTTGTAATACAGATATATTTGTTATCGTCGTCGGACCTCTGACAGCTGGACCCTCTGACCGTATCATATGGTTCGAACACATTGTCCGCCACGATTATTTAAAATAATGAATAAATGCCACCGTGGATTGATTTTCGTGGTTCGAGTCTGTGCAGATGGAGGACTGAAGGTAGAAATTGATGTCGAAAATGCAAGGACAATGTCCCGATTTAGTTGTGTTGTCCTTTGGGATCATATGAACACCACCTGCACAACATGGTGCACACCTTTCTGATCACATTTCAAGGAATACTGTTAGAGCATGCCATGTTTTGACCTCGATTGCCTTGTCACCAGACTTTCACTCACAACTGAGATGAGAACCCACAACAACCAATTGTTCATTGTCATCTTCCAACAACTATACCATGTCTGTGATATCAGTTAGATGGTTAACGAAGCTAATGGCGACATTCATACACACAAACCGACTGTGCTACAACCGGTCCCCAATACAATGAAACTGATCCTATTGACCTAACTTATAGGAATACTGTAAAGATATCACTGAAAGTTTTGATATCTGACTTTTGATTGACATGTGCAAGAGTTTTTGATATATTAAACGGAAGAAAAAGACTGGAACCTGTGATTAAGATACCGAACTAAATTACAACCCTGTCAGGTATTTTTACTGATGACAAGCGTTTAATTTCTACATTTCATAAAAATAATATCAGTGTCCTCTTTCATTCTTGCTAATTGTGCAATTGTTTTGTGATCAGTATTTCGTAACTTAAAACAGAGGCGCTTCTAGGGATCATTAGGTAAAAGGAAAAGGTGGAGGGGGGGGGGAGAGAGAGAGAGAGAGAGAGTGCGGTGCCATAGAAATGACAAAGGGGTTCATTCACAGCACGAGGTATTTAAGAGTTCAATGAATACAAACTTGAAACTTGGGGACATAAAGCTATTTAATGTGTAGGTTCACAGCTATCTGATTGAAATTGATTACAATATAACAGCCTCTTTGTGCTTCCATATTCCACAATTTGTCATAGTTGTAAAACTCAGTTTTTAATTGCACAGCAGTATAACAAGGTCCTACATGACATCCTTTTGACAGAGCTGTGGTAGAAACATGTTAGATTATTTTAATTAAGCTTCTGATTGCACGGTGGTATAATCATAACAGCCTTCAAAGCTAGAAGTGAAATGTAAGATAGCGTGACGATAGCGTCACGCTGGTGTATCAAACAGTGTCACATACCAATTACTCTGATGGTAACGTGACAATTCATAATTCCTGCCATATTAGATTACACACCGGAAACGGAAATGTTCATCTGATAGCGGAAACTTGTATTCATATATGATTGACGACATTCGGATAGACCAATCATATTTTTTGGACCGCATGAGAGGAGGAGGAGACCCAAAAGATGACGATCTTATAGCAGAGTGGGATCATGGTCAGGCAGTAGTGCACAGTGGCGTAACTACGGTTACTACCCCCATTTTCAAATTTCTTATCTCTGAGTTCATATATGCGCAGTGTTGTGAGCAGTCCACCCCTTCCCCTAATTCTGTGCCCCCTACTCGGCTCCTCAACCTTATTATTATTAGTGTCACGCCCAGTTCTTCGTTTATAAGAAGTAAAAGCTGTTATCTCTTTTTCTGTTTAGAAATTATGCCAACTAATGAAAAAGTCTGTAATCAAAGAATATTGAACCTGATTTTTCTAAGCGTTACCCGAAAACCGTACGGATTAAAGTCCCATTTTCCTCGAGTTACATTCTGTTAGCTAGTTGGTACTCCCTCACTGCCATCGAGTCGGAAAGAGTTCCAAGGCCGTTTTCATTACAAAGATTAATCATGCTCTTATATCAAATAAAAATGTTTAACTATTTATTATATAATGACACTTATTAACTCAATAAAATAGAGAAAAAAAAAAGAAACCAGATACGCTGACTCAGTAATTGATTTTACTATAAAGACCTTCAAGTTTTACAACTCCCACGTTCTGATCACGCTCTTACTTACGGTTATGACCTAATCACATTCTTACGGTTATGACCTGATCACATTCTTACGGTTATGACCTGATCACATTCATACGGTTATGACCTGATCACATTCTTACGGTTATGACCTGATCACACTCTTACGGTTATGACCTGATCACATTCTTACGGTTATGACCTGATCACATTCTTACGGTTATGACCTGATCACACTCTTACGGTTATGACCTGATCACACTCTTACGGTTATGACCTGATTACACTCTTACGGTTATGACCTGATCACACTCTTACGGTTATGACCTGATCACACTCTTACGGTTATGACCTGATAACACTTTTACGATTACGACCTGATCACACTGTCAAGAGGATACAAAACATATCGACCAACATGGACCACATCCGACTCAGCGTTAGCAATAACCGACTCATTACATTGGCCATGAGTGACTCGCAGCGAGTGCTACTCTTGTCGTTAATAATTGACATGTCAAATTGCTGAGTTACCTCATTTTACTACTTTTTTTCTGCAAGGGATGAGTCGCAGTCATGACTCGCAGCCTGGCAAATAATTGACTCGAAACTTTGCCGAGTTACTTCATTTCTGTAGGGGCACTGAAATAAATAAGTACTAACGAACCGAACCACAAAACGAAACCCGAAATCCAAAATAATAGTTTGGCGAAACATTGGAAGCAGCTAATGAACTTTTCATATGAGGAAGTATATCAATCATAAATGAGTAAGTATTTCATAACGGAAACGAAACTGAATCTTGGAATATTGTGACCTTGTGTCTTCTACTCTGCCGCTAGTAGGACGTAAAACTCCATTCATCTCATTTCATTTCTACTCTGCCGCTGAAATTTGCTGGCGGAACCCCTGCATTTATTCATTTCTTCTGTATTTTTATCCATTCTGCGTCGATAAGACATATCATTAGATAATTCTAATACTATTATCGCCAGTGGACTGATACCGCGCAATCATATAATGGGATGATACAACTCTCGGAAGTGTCATTCAGGTCTATTTTAATGTTAAATATATGTGCTGAGGAATGATTTGAAAACTGTGTAAGATTTTAGTACAGATTTGTTATAATCAAAAAACTAGGCCAAATGTGACATTGATAGAATTATGTACCCTTCTCAACTTTCTGTAACTAAAGGATGAATTAGATTCTGTGACACCAGTATTATACTTTTCATTAGACGCTGTGTGACACCATTATTATACTGTTCATTAGACGCTGTGTGACACCATTATTATACTTTTCATTAGACGCTGTGTAACACCAGTATTAAACTGTTCATTTGACGCTGCGTGACACCAGTATTAAACTGTTCATTAGACGCTGCGTGACGCCGAGTGACGCCATTATTATACTGTTCATTAGACGCTGTGTGACACCATTATTATACTGTTCATTAGACGCTGTGTGACACCATTATTATACTGTTCATTTGACGCTGCGTGACGCTGAGTGACGCCATTATTATACTGTTCATTAGACGCCGTGTGACACCATTATTATACTGTTCATTAGACGCTGTGTGACGCCATTATTATACTGTTCATTAGACGCCGTGTGACACCATTATTATACTGTTCATTAGACGCTGTGTGACACCATTATGATACTGTTCATTTGACGCTGCGTGACGCTGAGTGACGCCATTATTATACTATTCATTAGACGCTGTGTGACGCCATTATTACACTGTTCCTTATTAGACTGTTAATTAGACGATGTGTGACGTCGTTATTATACTGTTCATTAGACGCTGTGTGACGCCATTAATATACTGTTCATTAGACGCTGTGTGACTCCATTATTATACAGTTCATTAGACGCTGTGTGACGCCATTATTATACTATTCATTAGATGCTGTGTGACGCCATTATTACACTGTTCCTTATTAGACTGTTTATTAGACGATGTGTGACGTCGTTATTATACTGTTCATTAGACGCTGTGTGATGCCATTATTATACTGTTCATTAGACGCTGTGTGACGCCATTATTATACTGTTCATTAGACGCTGTGTGAAGCCATTATTATACTATTCATTAGATGCTGTGTGACGCCATTATTACACTGTTCCTTATTAGACTGTTTATTAGACGATGTGTGACGTCGTTATTATACTGTTCATTAGACGCTGTGTGATGCCATTATTATACTGTTCATTAGATGCTGTGTGACGCCATTATTATACTGTTCATTAGACGCTGTGTGACGCCATTATTATACTGTTCATTAGACGCTGTGACGCCATTATTATACTGTTCATTAGACGCTGAGTGACGCCATTATTATACTGTTCATTAGACGCTGTGTGATGCCATTATTTTCCTGGTGTGGTCTACATAAGACACATGTGACAGTATTTACACAGGCTGTGCAACACATTTTTCTTATTCATTTGACCCAGGAAAAGACGACAAAGAAATTTATGCGAATTTAAATAAATTTAATGAATACATAATATATTAATCAACAATAAATTTTATCTTATAATACAATAAATTTTAATAAATATAACAGAGCATGGAATAACTCATAAATTAAACAAAATAAATTACAGGGGCGTTGACTAGGATTGGGTGGTGGGGGGGGGGGGGGTGCTCGGATGGATCATCAAAACCACCATGTAATGCTTAATATCTAATTCCAGCTATTTTCATATTGAATATTTTAAAAGACATTTTACTGTCCCCAGTAATTCGTGGAATTCGTCCAAAACTTGCTGAGTTTCATTGAACCACTGATCGTTATTTTCGACAAGTGTCGGGGAAAGAATGTCGGGAAAGAAAGCTTGATTTTATTTGTAATACATGTTTATAAGGAAATTTCCCTAACTCTAGCTGACTACAATCCGTCAAAATCAATGGTCTGTTCAATCAGCAAGTTTTAAACTATTTACATTTTAAATATCTTACATTTCAATCCCTAACAGTTTCTTAAAATTTCACGTTTGGTAAGAAGAAGTAGAAATGTTGTTAACTACGACAAGGAGAGATTTTGTGTACCTTTATTTTTGTATTTCTGTTCTTTTTTTGCATTTTGGTTTGCATGGATAGTGATGTCTGACCCTGAATAACTGACCTGATATTCCCTTAACTGAAGATTAATACCACCAACCCATCTTTTAGTTACTTTATAATCTTGACGAACGCGATGTGGCTTTCAAAAACACTGTGAGATCGGCACAATATTTGTGGGGATCTGAAGCGTATAGAACAAGTGAGAATCGTTCTCTTACTCCCTAAATTACCTAATATTGAAATGTTTAATAAGCGCCCAGCCATAATCATTTGATATCCCTTTAAACTATAGGAAACTAGCACAAGTCACCTTTAAGAAGCGTAATTTTAAGCGAAGCTGGAAGTTTCCAAGATCATCTTCAATCCTATCTTTGGTACATAAGCTATGTTTTACTGGCGGTAGTGTGTGGCCTATATTTAGATTGTGTTACTGCGAATTATAATCCAAAGCTTGAAATCTTTAGACGTTCCATTTCATTCTTTATTATTTGCATCACAGACACGTTCTTAAAAAATGTCCAAAAAGCAAAATAATTGAAATGCAATATAACAAGCACGATGTTCACTAAAAAATAGTAAGGGGATTTAATTTAAATATAATTTATATATAGATATACTTTCTCGGCGTGTCAGAAACTGCATCATGTAATACACCCTTCCAACTGAGTTCCATTCAAGACCAAGCCCGGTCACTGTGTTATTGCTCTTTGTTATTATTCCTTTCATATCGCACATGCGTTCAAATTTCCACTTCCGCTTTCCTCTTGACCTTGAAATGTTCTTCCGGAAACATGTTCATATATGATGATTCTCCAGTTTTAAATGAACACATGTATATCACATATTCTGTTAAAGCACTATTTCGACGATGACTTTATCCGCATGAATCAAAGACCGTTATCCTTGTCCGTAATCCAAATCATGTCCGTAATGTTTTTCAGTAATAATAGCTCCCTCTCTTAGGCTCTTCATAAACCGCGGCACAGAATTCCCGCATCTGCATACTGATATCACTTCTTCCTTCACAACATAGGTCATAATAATCATCATCTTTATATACACGACCACAGAAATAACACATTTTAGTGAGTTCTTTGTTGGTTCGACATTCACCTTGGACGTCCAGATATGGCTTGGCCTCTATCATACATATCACGAAGATGGCGGCTAAAAATACACTGCATAGAAAGTTCATCATCTGGAAGTATAAATTGAAACAGAAATGATTAATCAGAGAAAGGCAAATGATGCAAAGGTTTTAACTAGACATTTGGTTCGTTGGAAAGCACTGACCAATCCTATGATGCAATCCAAGATTGATGGAGACGAAGGACGGTCTTGCCGTCTTGCTACACCGACTCAGCGCCCCTATAAGCACTCTTTGAAGCCTTTGTAAGTGAACATTTTCCCCTTTAAAATATGTTTAATAGTACAAGACAATGAACCATTGACCAATAGCATGAATTTCACAATACAATATGATGTGCCAAAACAACCGACTACAAAATATTTTATCAAACTCACTTACACAAATTAGAAATCATCAATAAAATAGTACGGCCATGTATATTAGTTATTTTACTTATTATCGCAGATAATTATATTACAAGTAACCATTTTAATGCACAATTGGCGACACCAGTCAGGCAGATAATATAACGTAGAGATCGGAGCAATGTGTAGTGCATTAGTCCCATTAGTTAAATTTACACGTTACACAAGACTATAGTGTTCCATTAGTCCGACTGAGTCATACAAACAAATACATCAACAGAGCTATTAGTTATTAGTTCGATACGATAACGCCATAAGGAAAATACAACATAAACACGGAGTAATAAACGATTTTGGTCCGATCAGATAAAGTCCTAAAGCTAATGCAACGAAAATACGGAGCAATAAGCGATATTAGTCCGACCCAAAGATAACGTCACAGAGTTATTCCAACACAAATGGCGAAGCAAATAAACACTATCAGTTCGACCCAAAGATAACGTCACAGAGTTATTCCAACACAAATGACGAAGCAATAAACACTATCAGTTCGACCGGAATATAACGTAATAAAAACTAAATTTATCAACCTAACGGTACACAAAAACCATACTCGACGCCGAACTGGTATAGACCGTACAAATATATGATTTTGTGTTGGGTAATTAACTAATTCACTAGCAACTATAGTGAGTTGACATTTCACTTAATGTGAATTATAAAACAACAATTAGACAAAATGAGTAAATAATCATAAACTAAATTAAAGAGACCAACAAACACTTCTGGTCCATAATTTCTGACTTTTTCTGGTCGATCATATTGTTAGGAATGATTTAGAGCGCCATATTTCAAATCCGCAGACGCCATTATCAGGCAATAAAACTAAAACGAAAGTAGGGCCATCGTAAATCATCGAAGACAGATATACACAATTCTTTCTGATCATAGCCCA